ATCTTTCTCGTCTGCCTGACGTTGGCCAAAAGAAGGTTGGTAACGAAGGTCTTGCCTGTTCCGCAAAGAGCGTTGAGGAAGAAAAGGCCGCTACGTTTTTTTTTGTCAATTTTTGTTTTGTCAAATTTTTTGGGTCAAATTTTTTTGGCCTAAAATGGTCGTCGCGTCATGCTGGTTCAGAATATATATATATGGTGTTGGGGGTCACCTTTTACGGGGAGAGAAGATAGACAGACAGACCGAAAAACAGACTCGCCCTTTATGTAAGAGATTACGAGATCAAGCCCTGTAGGATGTAGACAACGAAATGAAGATGTATGCGTCACCAACAGAATATGTTTCTTCGAAGCAATTATCATTCGTATTTATAAAGCAAGATTGATATTATATGTTATATTAATGAGTAAAATATGGTTTCATGGAAAATACATCAGAAAACTTACTTATTTAGCGATCATAAACCAAGACAAACATTTACAAATGGCGTTTGTTCTCTTGTTTTAAAGATTTTCATCAGTCGAAGCAAATCGAAGCAGCCAATCCGAAGGCGCTAAATTATTCCTATGTTCATGCTATGTTATACCGTTTGAAAAAAAAGAATTCAGTGGTTAATTTCGCAGACTGTATTTACAGTTTAGAAAACCAGCAACTATGGTGGATACCACACAGAGAGTGAAATTTTAAGCAGGTAAGTGTCACCAGAATTGAGAGCACTGTTTCTCACTTCCTGAAAGGTTTTGGTGTACACTTTGTGGCTGACCGCATAGCCGACACGATAACCAATTATTAAACATTTAATTGAGAAACCCGATTTATAAAAATAGCTGTTCATCAATTATGTCACATTATGAATCATGCCACTGTGATTAAAACTAGTAGTAAGACGTAGATACTTCAACAGAAAATTGCAATCCAGTTTATTGTGTGGGTGCTTGAATACCTCAAATTAACTATAACCCCTTAAATTTTACCAACTGCTTTATAATTATTGTATCCGAGCTTCTACGTTTAAGCAACAGCATCATAATTCTGTAATTCTAGCTCCCACGTTCTATGTGCTATTTCCTATGAATTCTAGAACCTATAGGTCTGAAATCCTAGCTGCATCTGTGTTCCTTGATTCTGCCTCACTATCCTAGCAACCTGCAGTGTAGCCCTAGTAACTATAGCCCGCGTACAGTTGCCGCTGGCGCAACGGCCGCACGGCCGCAGCGGCAACTGTACGCGGGCTATAGTTACTAGAGCTACCTGCAGAGTAGCTGCACTTTTTCCCTGCAGTGTTCTCTCATGTCCAAGAAGATGTTGTGTTTACAGATACAAAGCTGACTCGCAGCCAGGCTGGAGGTGATGCGAGGGATGAAGTTGAGAAGGATGAGTACGGTGACACGTGAGTATTCCTAGAATCCTAGATAAAATGATGTAACCCAACTAGAGTAGGGTTACAACGCGAGCCTATTCTTTTCTTTGGAGGAGCCCCTGAGTGATTCACTCAGGGCGGTTTTATGGTGCGTTTTTCGAGACTACAACTTCCAAACTGGGTTTATTCTAAACACAAACCCTTCTCCGCTATCCTGGGACTTACTATGTATCACAATACTCTGTATTAAACTAATATAACCTGTTACAAAATTTCGAAGTGACGAGCGGCGATACTTCGAGCGCCATTTCTGTTGACCTGTGACGTACAGATTCCCAATGCGCATAGCGTTCGGCTAACTTTGGCTCCAAGATCGTATGTATCATGGGATGTTTGCTGTCAGTCATGACGTCATGACGAAGTTAGCCGAGCGCTATGCGCATTGGGAACATTATATAATACTTGTTGGGTTACATTATAGTATCTAAGATATTCCATGCAGTATGCATTTGTCAGCATTGATCTTCGTAACGAGTATAGGTGTCTGTTAAAAATTACAATTAAAAAAATATATTCTTTGCAATATAGGTGAACGAATCGCTCCAGCTGTCTCGCGTACACTGAAAACAACTTGGCCAGAGGCTTTCTACATTGAACTTACCTAACTACTAAGCCTGTGCATACTGGTTACATATATATTATAGCAGTTAGGATACCAAGGGACTTTTTGTGTGTATGAAATGATAGGAGTATGCACAAGTACTTTAATGCGTGCCTGTCTGCGACTGATCATCGTTCACTGCCCTTGTCTCATACATTCCTAAATTACTGCAGCACTAAACTGTGTCGCAACATTACTTCTATGCAGGGAGCTTCATTCGGCCATCTTGTCGAGGCGTCTGGATGAAGTTAATCTGTTGTGAACAAGTTGCACCAGGCTAAAGACTTCGCTGCCGTCAACGCTCGAAACTCGTTGGCACAGGTGAGTTGAAATGATTACGTCACCGTAAATAGTAAAAGTAAAAAAATCATGTCCACTTTTTAACGAAATGTAAGTAATTCTGTTCACTTTTATTGTTAAAATGCTGCATTATACTTCCTATTTTGCTATTCCGTTCGATCTGAACAAACATTCGTGACTCATACATAGCCCATGGCAAAGATTTAATGTCGTGATCAATATATCAAATCGCCCAGGTTTTTTAGCTCACGTTGACATCGTCAAGATGAGTTATTGCCATAGGGAGTCGTCCGTCGTACGTCCGTCCGTCAACATTTGGCTACGGTCAACGATAACTTGAGAACCGTTTGACCCGCATGTTTCAAATTGCATACAGTTGTTACTCCTATGGGAGAGATTTGAACTTCCTATTTTGCAGCACGCCAGTCGCCCAACTTTCGAGCCACACCCACTTTTTGACAAAAATGGAAATGTTCTTAAGTCAGTTCAGGTTCGACGGATTTTGCTCATTTTTGGTATGTAAATGAATAAGGACTGGCCCCAAAACCTATCACACGGGTTTTGATTTTGTTTTTTAATTATTTAAATTATGTAGATTTTGGCAATTTCACTATGCATTTTAGTGTCTGCCTATGGTCAACGATAACTCAAGAACCGTTTGACCCACATGTTTCAAATTGCATACAGTTGTTACTCTTATGGGAGAGATTTGATCGTCCTATTTTGGAGCACGCCAGTCGACCTACTTTCGAGTCACACCCACTTTTTGGCAAAAATAAAAATGGCCATCTAGATTCATTAGATTTGGTTAAATTTTGGTATGTGAATGTGTAAGGCTAGCCCCAAAACAGTTGTTACTCCTGTGGGAGATATGACAGCGTCCTATTTTGGAGCACGCCAGTCGACCTACTTTTGAGTCATTCTAAACTGCGTGTTTGCTACAGTTTTTTTTGGGGGGAGGTGCGATTTACGCATATATAATTATCAAGAGTATATAATAGGAGATATGCTATATAATGGGAGTTCCCCCATATTTACTCTTGTTTTATATAATGTAGGCGGATAGTTGCTGAATGAAAAATGACTTGTTGGCACTCGCTCCTTTGTGTACTTTTTTGTGGTGAGCTATAGTGTCATTGACACTTTCATTTAGATTTTATACTAGTAGAGAAACAATCTTATCAGGTAAGAATTTGGGGATACATTTAGTGCCGTTAGTACTTACTTGTCATGTAAGAAAAATTGCAACAAACATTTTACAAATATACGCCATTGAAAATTCGTAGCGTAGTCAATTTAACTCTAGCTTTACTCATGTAGCCGATTGCATCCGCTATACAGAACGATATGGGCAACAGCGCGCCGCCGTGAAACGGGAGCGAATCTTTGCGGTAGGGCTGACGAGGATGTAGCAACAAACGACAATGAAAAAATACACTAGCCGACAACATAAATGTCTGTACTTTAGCCGACCACTGTCAAACCAAATTTAGCTTACCGTAACTTGCCCAAATTCGGGGTGTTGCTCGGACGCAAACAAACCAAAAAGATAAATGCGCAGCCATGTTGTATTTAAGTAACGGTGGCTCTGGTGATCAGGTACCAGTTAGCCTGCGATGCTGCAATGATTCCATTGTCGTTTCCCATCACTGTTGGTCGTATACTACGTGTATACGTCATCACTCTAGCAGGAGTTAAGAACTACACAGGTGCTAACGAGTTAACTCCTGACATGTAGTTTCAATTTATATTGATTTAGCAACCCCTCGACTGCCACACCATGCGTGAAAGTATGTGTAGTGAAAGAAAGTGATGTGAAGTGAAGTGAAAGTATATAAGTGCGGTTATAGGTGGTTTGTTCCAGTAATTGATGAGTCATCCTATGTCGCAATATCTGTACTGCGTTGCATCATCATTTATCGTCGCCACATACGTGTCTCTCTCTCTCTCTCTCTATTGTTTCTCCACGTGTACTCTCGATACGAAGATTAAATCGGATGTTGCCAAAACGTTTTCCACAGACGCCACTCTATCTTGCCACGCTAACAAATCAAGTTGAGGTGATGAAGTATTTGCTGGAGTATGGAGCACAGCTCCAACTGGAGACAGATGCGGGAAACAACTGCATCCACGCAGCAGTAAGGGAGGGTCATGAGGAGGCATTAAGGATTCTCCTAAAAAAACGTGGTTGCAGGAATGTGTTGAATGCAGTGGATAATGATGGTGAGGGCATAGTCTGTTTCATTTATATAGTATTTGTGTTGTAACAATCTGGAAGCAGGCAGTGTCGTTTTGTTGGCATTTGCTGATGCTATACAGAAATAACGCTTTTATGTCCTGTGTTAGTATCTTCATTGGCCTGTAAGAGATTAAAGCCATGCCTTCTTCCCTCCTCGACCAAAGCAGGTCAAGCTGAACCAGTTTGTACATGTTTTTAATGGGAGCGTACCAAAATTCGACTGTGCAACAGGGCATGCATTGTCTTTAGAATGTTTTATCATAACAGTGATTGGTTAGAGCTACCAAGGCTGTAATTGCAATGCTTATTAATATTATCAGGAGTCTATCAATATTTGATAGACTCCTGATAGTATGTGCAAGTGAGTACATTTAAGTGAAAGCTGACAGGTTCGAATGGGTTCATTGGAATAGCACCGCTCTCACATTTGTGCGTCGTTACAGGAAAGACTGCGATGCACATGGCACAGTTTGGTAATAGATGGCGCTGCATGGAGCTGCTGTTACGAGCCGGAGCGGACATTAATGCTGGCGACAGAACTGCTGGGCTATCTCCACTTCATCACGCCGTTAAGGATGCACACGCTCAGAGTTACATCTATCTGCTAATGCAGGTGGGATATTAAAGGCTTCTGGAGAATAGATCATTCCATATAATCCTGTCGTTTGTGACATCATTTAATTTGACGTAATACATGCTGTGTTACTGCATATCTTTGGTTATTTGCTATCGTTAAAGCCACGAGTGAGTGTGTAATGTACGTGCGAATAAAAAACATTACTGAATATGAGAAATTGTTTCAATAGAGGCTCAGTTTAAATGCTGTATTCATTGCAATTTGTTATACATGTTCAGATAAAAGTTGAACGAATTGCTTATGCCATCAGACAGATGGTGAGAACTCTATTATGTATAGTCAATCATTTGGTCAACCTTTCCTTGCTAATCGGGATATAACTATGTAATACAGCTATAGCTGTTAGTCGACTGCCTAGCGTAAAACACTTGCGTGGGACATAAAATTTGAAACCGACACAGAAAATAAAAAACAATAATTATAAAGTTCAATTAATTATTTAATCATTGATTGTATGTAAATCGTCTATTTGCAGAGCACTGTCGACCCGGACAAGAGAGCATACAACGGTAGTACTCCGCTGCACATTGCAGCTGATCGAGGGAACTACGTGGCACGCATGGCTGCTGATCAATGCAGGTGCTGACCCCTACATGCAGGATTGTGTTCTGTAGAGATGTCTGATGATGAGGAAGAGTCGCTAGAAGGACATAGCCTATGATTACGCAGCAGATAACCAGAGGTAAAACATGCCTACCTCATCATTTATATATGTATGCCTGCTCTTTCTCTTTCTTTAACTAAAAAATCGGTGGTGAATTATCTATATCTATCTATATATATATCCATCCATCCATCCATCTATCTATCTATCTATCTATCTGTCTGTCTGTCTGTCTATCCATCATCATCCATCCATCCATCCATCTCCCTCTATTATCTTTCTATCTATCTATCTATCTATCTATCTATTTATCTGTCTGTCTGTCTGTCTGTCTGTCTGTCCTCATCATCCATCATCTTCCATCCTATATCTATCTATCTATCTATCTATCCATCCATCCATACCATCCATCCATTCATCCATTCATCCATCCATCATCTATCCATCCATCTCTCTATGCATGCATCCATCATCCATCCATCCCTCCATAATATCTCTATATCCATCCATCCATCCATCTCCATCCATTCATCCATCATATCCTCCATCCATCTCATCTATCTATCTATCTATCTATCTATCTATCTATCTATCATCTATCTATCTATCTATCTATCTATCATCATCTACTATCTATCTATCTATCTATCTATCTATCTATCATGTCTGTCGTCTGTCTGTCCTGTCTGCCTGTCTGTCCTGTCGATCCTCCATTCCTACATTTCCATCATCCATCATCATCGCATTCTCGCCATGCATGCATATCCATCGCATCCCATCCATTCATCCATGCCATTACTATCCATCTCACCCCCAAGACGTGCGATTCATTCCATCCATCCATCCATCCATCCATCCATCCATCCATCCATCCATCCATCCATCCATCCATCCATCCATCCATCCGTCGTCCATCCATCTATCCATCCATCCATACATTCATTCATCCATCCATCCATCCATCCATCCATCCATCCATCTCCATCTATTCATTCATCTATCGATCCATCCATCCACCCATCCATCCATGTATCTATCGAATTTTATTGAGAGTAATCAAAAATGGATTTCGTTTTTCACCATTGTCCAACATAGTTGCATGTGATAGTGATGCTTGCTTTTCTGACCATAGATGGCGTCGATGCTTGATGGTATTACCTTTGAAGAATTGTGAACTTTTCTTCACTCTGCACCGGCAGGTATGTATATGTATTTGCAATAGTCCACCTAGGCTTGCAAGATACCTGCCCACCAGCTCGCGATTTTTATTTTAACTTTTAGAGTGTGTGAAAATGTGTGAAAATCTGTCCTTGCTAGACTAGTTCTCGGTCCTTAACTTCCAGTAAGGTCAGGAAATGCAGCTGGGTAAGTGCCATTTCATTGGTTGGCCCAACATATTTTACCAATGCAGGCAAAATTAATAGTTCTGGCCACACAAAAGGTATAAGCTAATGTGCATGTCTGTATAAAATATATAAAATGGGTTTGTATTGCTAACATAGTTATTGACAGGAAACCAGCCTACTGGCAGCAAAGCTGATTCGTCTTGGTCATTTTGCTTCTGAAAACGAGGCAGATATAAAGGCATGTCAATTTCTTGCCACTCTACTTGGAGGAGGAAAATGTGGCAAATCTGCATGGGAAAGGTTTCTTTTTTTGTCAATTTTAAGGCAAGAAAGGGCACAGCCTGTCACTTTCGTAATGTGCTGAAGGCAATTGAAGCGGATAGTCAGGTGGACGTTGTGATGAAGGATGCCTGAAGTCCAACACCATATAACATTGAGTTAATTTAGAGTCATACCCGATGGGTGATTCCCATATGCTTGGAAAGTATTATAGACGTAATAATAAACGTAATGAAATAATAGACTGACATGAATTTCAGGTAAAAGTTTTTTACAAGTATGTAAAGAAATCTATAACATGTGTTTAGAAATCTGCATTGACAACTTTTATGAATAAACAACATGTTAGTTTTTTATGAATTGCTTAACGGTTTTGTGCACATTTCGGAGAGAAAATTATTTAGAGTAATATTTGAAGGTATGATTAACAACAATGTGTTGATTAGTAACTCATATACAGTGCCTGTAATCCTTTTGAACCCATTTTCCTATCTTTAAATAAAGAAAATTTCAGAAATAATACTGTTTCGCTGAGCGAAAAGTTTTGTTGTTGTTTTGTTTAATCAGATTTAAAATCTCATTATGAGAGATCATTTTAAGAGCGATGGTTATTTGTTTGTGAGATGAGTAAAATAAGGTATATTTGTTTATTAAAATAGCGGAAAAGCAGGAAACTTTAATGGTTCAATAATTGTTAATTTATGGTATTTTGCATGTATATAATTTTTATTACAGATTGAATTATTAGTCTTCACTGTCTTCAATACATCACAAATGGAATCAAATAAAGACATTTGAAGCAATCCAATTTTGAGCTTTAACTTTGTTAATTTTCGTGGTCAGCGCGCCAAATACAATAAAATGTCTCGTAGTTGCTGTTTTTTAATATGCTGGTCATGTACAACTTTTGTAGATCCATTTGTAGTTGCTATTACATAGTAAGTGGGATTAGTTGAGAAATAATCCAAGAAAGCCATTTGAGGTTTTATGATAGTGTGAACATTGAAGGCGCCTGCAATCGTCGTGCTTTACCTATAGACCCATGGTGGTGTGTGTGCAATCGCTACGCACCCCTGAAAACGGAGCTTCGTTTCCAGCAGACGGGTTGCTACCACACGGTCTAGTCCGGTTAGGACCAGTAGCAGATAAGGTCGAGCAGCACACGAGCCCTCTGCATCTACACGAATGAGTTGGAGTGCATTTGAGAGCAGAGGCATGGCCAAATATCATGTAGGGCTCGGCTCTGCAATGACGTCTTGTGATAGAGAAAGGTCAGTATTTTTGGTGTTGGGCCACAGTAGAGGGCGTCTATAGGCAGCAGGTCTGAATAAACACTACACAGAAATTAATTAAAAGCCATATCATTCAATTTCTCCGGAATCAGCATTCCGTTTCTGGTGCCAGCATTCAGCAAGATGGCAGAAACAGCGAAGGAGTTAAAGCTAAAGAGAAGGGGAGCGAAGGCAAAGATGACGAGAGCTGGGAACGCGGTGCTACAGCTCATCGATGGGAGTGCCATTAAGAGAGATGTAGAGGAGAAGTTCCAGCAGCTTAAGACCCTCTACCAGGAGCTTCAGCAGAAGCATGAGAGTTACGCGGAGCTCATAGCCGATGACGAGGCGTTTGAGGAAGAGGAAAAATGGATGGAAGCTTGCGACACATCCTTTGTATATTGGCAAGTGAGAGTCAGCAAGTATCTCGTTAAGTCAGGAGAGAGAGCAGAGCCGGAAAATGTAACAGAAGCAGCGCCTTCTTCTGAGAGTCTTGGAGGTACAGTACAGTTAGAGTCAGGTGAGTCTGCCTCTCCTCCTGAGGTAACAGCTCCACCGTACAGCCTGAGGATGGAGAAGCCAAGTCTTCCCAAGTTTAGCGGAGATGTCCGGGAGTTCTTCGTATTCCGGGATGACTTCAGACATCTGATAGATGGCCGCTACAGCAAACGTGATGGGATCACCATTCTACGAAGCTGTCTAAGAGGGAAGCCCCTTGACCTGATTTGGGGCATAGGCACTGATTATGACGCTGCGTGGGAGCAGCTGGACTCGATTTATGGAGATCCTAGATTCGTAGCGGATGCCATCGTCAACGATATCCGCAGATTCCGAACACTCAAGGAGCAGGAAGATAGCCGCTTCTGTGATTTAGTTCACCTGGTCAGAAGAAGTTTTAACATCCTCAAGGGTGTTGGAAGAGTGAACGACATGGACAACAACCATATGCTCGCATCGATAGAGATGAAGATGACCGGAAAGCATGGTTTTGTTTTCAGGAAAAGGAGAACGATCCAGCGTCTCTTCAAATGCTTCTAGAGTAGATTTCGAGTAAAATGAAGGCCAGGATGCGAGCTTCGGCCCCACTTCGGACGGAATCCTGTCAAGCAAGCTTCAGCTACTGTGCCCAGCAAAAAGAAACGAGGCAGGAGACGGAAAGAAAGTGGACGCCAACGCCCGGTACTCTGAACAGATGTTGGTTGTGCAGCTCTCCGGATCACTGGGTAGACCAGTGTAAGAAATTCGCATCTAGGCCAGTACCGGATAGGTTGAGGATGGCCAAGAAAAATCGTGCTTGTTTTAGCTGCCTCAGACAAGCAGAGAGAGGGCATTGTAAGAAACGCAGACCGTGTCCAGAGATGTTTCAAGGGCAGAAGTGCAAATTCTACCATCAGCCACTGTTGCACCCTGTAGAAAGACGGAGGCCGAGTAACAGTTCAGAGCAGACGCAACGAGCCTATGTATATGTCGCCACGGTCGGAGCCAAGGAAGCTCTGCTACCGATCGTTTTAGTTGAGATCATGGGACGCAATGGCAGCAAGAAGGAGGGTAACGTTCTGCTTGATTCAGGTGCGCAGATAAGCCTCGTCCGCCAGGAGTTAGCAACAGAGCTGCAGTTGAAGGGCAAGCCCACCACTATCACCATAGGCAAGATTGGTGGAGAAGAAGAGGTTTTGCAGACCAATATGTATAAAGTGCCGATAAGAGAAGCTGGAAAGGGAGGCAACCCCTTTATCGTGTCAGCCGTAGGGATTTCGTGCATTAGCGAAAATGCAGCCACTACTGATCTGGATGATCTGACAAGGAAGTTTGGTCTCAAGCTCACGGATGTGCACAGAGGTAGCGGAGCTGTGGATCTCTTGATCGGAATCGACCAGGCCAGGTTACATGGCGGAGAGACAAGGGAGGTAGGCTACTGCACTGCTCGAAAGTCGCCAATAGGATGGGTCATCTTTGGTTCAGCACCTGATGATAAAGTGCAGAGTAATGATGTACTCCATGTCAAAGTAACATCGCCTGTTGATTTGACAGACTTTTGGTCAGTCGAGTCTGAGGGAGTGAGGATGGATGGGAGTCAGTGTAAGGAGAGCAGACTTACAAGACAAGAGGCCATTGAGGAACAGGTCATCAGATCCTCAGCTCACAAGATCGGAAAGCAGTGGGAGATAGCCTACCCTTGGGAACAAGATCCACAAATGTTGCCGGATAACAAGTGCCAGGCGGAGAAGGTGCTTCATTCAACAGAGAGGAGGCTTGCTAAGAATCCCGAGCACGCCAAAGCTTATGACCAGCAGATCCGTGAAATGGAGGGGATGGGTTTCGCCAGGAGGCTTTCGCCTCAGGAGGTGAATAAGCAGGAAGGACCTGTGCATTACATCTCCCACCACGCAATAGTGAGGCCTGAAAAAAAGAGTACTCCAATCAGAATAGTCTTCAACTCATCGGCATCATTTCAAGGACATAGCTTAAATGAATACTGGATGAAAGGAACCTTATGCGCCGATATCTCAAAGATGTACCACAGAGTGCTCATTCCAGAGAGTGATCAACACGTACACAGGTTCCTTTGGAGGAACATGGATATGAGTAGAACACCAGACGTGTATATCATGAAGGTAGTAACCTTTGGAGACAAGCCTGCAGCGGCAATGGCGCAGATTGCTCTCAAGATGACTGCAGAGGAAGGGGAGAGTACACACCCAGAAGCAGCGAATGTCCTCAATCACAATGTGTACATGGACGACATTTGTGAGTCGGTCAGGACGATTCCTGAAGCGGAGAAGCTCTCCAGTGATATAGACGAGCTATTAGCTGAAGGTGGCTTCAAAGTCAAGGGGTGGATATCAAATGAGCCACTACATGGAGACAGCAAGGAAGATAACATGAAGCTACTAGAAGCCCTTGCTGAAGAGAAAATGCTGGGTGTCGTGTGGGACAAGAAAGAAGACGTCTTCTCATACCGAGTAAAGTTCCATGAAGGTATGATGCCTTCAACTGATGCGGGAGGGGACCATCTAAAGCTCACCAAAAGGAAGATGCTAAGCCAAGTGGCCCGTGTTTTTGACCCCATTGGCTTTGCAGCTATAATCATTGCACGCGCTAAGATGGTTCTACAGAGGCTATGGCAGGTGGGCCTTCAATGGGACGATCCACTAACGGAGAGAGAGCATGCTGAATGGATCAAGCTGTTTGAGGAGATAAAGTCGCTTTACGATGTCAAGCTAGAGAGATGTCTTACGCCATCCAACGCAAGAGGCAAGCCAGTTCTGTGCATTTTCAGTAATGCCTCAGAAAAGGCATATGGTACGTGTGCGTACCTAAGATGGCAGACTGAGGATGACAAGTACGATGTGCGGTTCGTGGCGGCAAAGTCAAAGGTAGCGCCGCTTAAGACATTGACAATACCTCGTCTGGAGCTTCAAGCGGCGGTGTTAGCCTCCAGACTGTACAAGGCAATAAATGATGAAATGAGAGTGGAAGTAGCGAAAGTGATATTCTTCGTCGACAGTATGATTGTGTTCCACTGGATCAAATCTCCTGCTAGAGGCTTCAAGGCGTTTGTGTCCAGCAGAGTGGGAGAAATTCAAGGTCTAACAGATCCTTCTCAGTGGAAACACATTCCGGGAGTTATGAATGCCGCTGATGATGTATCCAGAGGAGTAACGGCCGAGAAACTGGGAGAAGTATGGAAGCATGGTCCTAGCTTTCTCTACACTGACGAAGCAGAATGGCCAGTAGATGAGCCCGAAGCAGATCAGAGGGCTGTTGAGGTAGAGAAGAGGAAATCGCCAGCCGTGCTTACAGTGTATGAGACAAGCGATGTGATAGATTGCACACGGTTTTCCAGTTGAAGAAAATTACTGAGAGGGACAGCTTACGTGATGAGATTCGTAGGCATGCTAAAGTCCAAAATCCAGAAGGGATCTCTACCCGACGACAAGACGGCTCTAACCACTACGGAGTTAGAGAGAGCTGAAATGTACTGGATAAAGGTAGCACAGGGGAGGACCAAGCCACGCTTCAAGAAGGGGGACTTCAATGTGCTCACTCCTTTCATCAAAGAGGAAGGAGTGATCAGAGTTGGAGGTAGAGTGGGAAACATGGTCACATCACACGAGTCTAAGCATCCCATTTGACCATGGCATATCACTGCTAATTACTCAATACACGCACGAATCGAGTCATCATGCTGTAGCAGCAACGACGGCCAAGACACGGATGAGGTTCTGGATCTTGAAGGGGCACCGGCTTGCTAAGTCTGCAAAACACCGTTGTTTGTGTGGTCTGCAGAGCAGCTGCATGCCAGGGAGAGTGTAGGGAAGTAGTTTGTACGTCATAAATTAACGTATAAATAATCAAGAAGACATATAGAATTTGTGTTCACTAAAGAAATATATTGTTTACAACCATAACAGTCACCATCTCGTCGTCCCGTCCTGTCTCGTTCCAGTCTCCCAGCTTCCCCCGTTCAACCGTCCTTCCAATCTTTATATATGACTCTCTCGTCCAATCACAGCCCAGTTCTACTCTCCTCTAGCCAATCACACACCACTCTCTCTCTTGTTCAAACTTTTACGCGGGAAATGTACAGATGGCCAGCATCTGTATAAACGGCGCCCGCTAGTCTGAAGTTCTCCCAGCCTAACTATTTCTCATCTCTAAGCTAAACGCCCAACCCTTCTCTCTGTACAACCCACCCTATCTACGATTACTAATCCAATGTGACATCTGTACAACATATGTAAAAGAGACGTTACAAGAGACGCAGATGATGGCCAGCTTGCCCAGTAGCAGAGTAGCTCCGTTCACGCCGCCATTCCACTTCACGTCGTGTGACTACTTCGGCCCATATCAAGTGAAAGTGGGTCGAAACAAGAAATCGAAGTACTATGGTGTGATATTTACCTGTTTGAACACCAGAGCTGTTCATCTTGAGCTTGCAGTAGACTGTTCAACGCAGGAGTTTCTGCAGGTTCTCCGGAGGTTTTTCGCGCTTAGAGGCCATCCGAAGGTCATCATGAGCGATAACGGTACTCAGTTCGTGGGTGCCCAGCGTGAGCTACGAGAGATGGTGAAAGGTTGGAGCAGCTTGGAACTTCGAGAATTCTGCGCAGAGAAGGGAGGTGAGTGGAAGTTCACCACACCGTTAGCTCCACACCAAAACGGATGCGCCGAAGCTCTTGTTAAAAGTTGCAAGTTTGCCTTACGGAAGGCCATAGGTAGTCAGTGTCTAGCACCGTTTGAGTTGTATACATGTTTGGTAGAGATAGCAAACCTTGTTAACCAGCGTCCCATCGGTAGAATACCAAATGACCCAGACGACGGTAGTTACATATGTCCCAATGATATGTTGTTAGGGAGAGCGTCGCGAAGCGTACCCCAAGGTCCGTTTAGAGAGACAGAGAATCCGCGTCATCGCGTTGAGTTTGTACAGCGCATAGTCGATTCGTTCTGGAGACGTTGGTCGCGGGACGTTCTTCCGCTCCTTGTTCCCACAAGGAAATGGAACACCGAGCGTCGTAATGTTCGCGATAAAGACGTTGTCATGCTTGCAGACGCGAATGCGGTTCGTGGAAGGTGGACACTCACTAGGGTGATGCAAGTATTGTCGAGTTGCAAATGCCGATGGTCGAGTTAGGAACGTACAGTTGAAAACCGCGGCGGGCGTTTATCGCAGACCGGTTACCAAGATCGCGGTTATCTATCCCGCAGAGGGGTACGATGATTTAGTGTAAATGTGTGTCTATGTTAATATGTTTAGGTCTTGAAATAAGGCTAAAGGTGTATGAGGAAAAGTCCTCATTCGGGGGGATGATGTTTCGCTGAGCAAAAAGTTTTGTTGTTAAAATCTTATTGTGGGAGATCATTTTAAGAGCAATGATTATTTGTTTGTGAGATGAGTAAAATAAAGTATATTTGTTTATTAGAATAGCAGAAACGCAGTAGCCTAGCATTGCGGCAGTAAACCGCTTAGTTCCGGCCAAAGAAGTAAGTTTATTTAGATAATTAGGACTTATTGATAAGTGTGTAAAAGGGTAGGTTTAATTTTGGTCATTCATGTAAACACGTGTGTGAGAATGTATAATGATAAGTGCTATGCCAGCGACATTCCCATAGGATTTTTTGCCGCTTGGTACAGAGTATAAGGTAATTTAAATTTATGCTTGGTGTACACTGCCCAACTACAAGCAGTATGTGTACAAAGAATATGCATTAGGAGATACAGTGTAGTGGAATATGCGTTTAGTTAGAATTTACGATAGGAATGTTTAAAGTTTAGGATTTATTGAGATAGACTTGCAAAGTATATTAGGCAAGTATGCTATGTTACACAAGCACAAAAAGAAGGACACAGAGGAAACTTTAATAGTGCAATAATTATAAATTTATGGTATTTTGTATGTATATAATTTTTATTACAGATTGAATTATTAGTCTTCACTGTCTTCAATACATCACAAATGGAATCAAATAAAGACATTTGAAGCAATCCAATTTTGAGCTTTAACTTTGTTAATTTTCGTGGTCAGCGCGCCAAATACAATAAAATGGCTCGTAGTTGCTGTTTTTTAATATGCTGGTCATGTACAACTTTAGTAGATCCATTTGTAGTTGCTATTACATAGTAAGTGGGATTAGTTGAGAAATAATCCAAGAAAGCCATTTGAGGTTTTATGATAGTGTGAACATTGAAGGCGCCTGCAATCGTCGTGCTTTACCTATAGACCCATGGTGGTGTGTGTGCAATCGCTACGCACCCCTGAAAACGGAGCTTCGTTTCCAGCAGACGGGTTGCTACCACACGGTCTAGTCCAGTTAGGACCAGTAGCAGATAGGGTCGAGCAGCGCACAAGCACCCTGCATCTACACGAATGAGTTTGAGTGCATTTGAGAGTAGAGGCAGGGCCAAATGTCATGTATGGCTCGGCTCTGCAATGACGTCTTGTGATAGAGAAAGGTCAGTATTTTTGGTGTTGGGTTTATTTATTTACCACTATTTAGCATCTATTTTACCAATTTTTAGTAAGTAAGTAACAATTTTTGATAGATGTGCCTGCAATACAAAATATAACATATAGGATTTGAATGCTAGATTCTTGCACCATGATGTCAGGTCACTAAATATGGCATCGAAAGCGGTAGCTACGTTTGTCGATGTCATCTCGCCCGCGTCCACTAGCGAGCAGACAAGAGCGTACTGGGCCTCAAAGAATGTTATCTGGTCGGCTGGTAAGCACCTCGTAAGCACCTCATCTTTGCCTTCTTCCGGCTTCTCATTGCTGCTTTCCTCCTCCTGCTTCTTTTCCTTGCCTTCCTCCTGTTGTGCCCGGACTCCCAGCGACACCCGATGGCGCCACCGGTCGATACGTAGTGACTAACAACAACCTTAGGTATCTCACTCACCTGTTGTGCCCGGAGGCGTTGAAATGGCCGTATCGTCGCCATCCGGACTCCGCTAGCCACCGGAGCGCCTAAGTGCTACTGCGCTCCCACCGCAATTACCTGTCCCACCGTTCCAGTTCCGGTGTAGTCGTGTAATTAGTCAACAATGCCAGACGAGGGACGACACACACAAACCCAACAACGGGGCAACCCCACCCTGTCTGCTGGCCTTACGTTACGTCTCATAATAAATGTCAACCCGGTGTATAAACAAAGGCTATACAAATAGAATAAATTATGAACGCAGCCGGGCAAAGGGCTACAATAACCGGCAGCCTCCCCCCGTGCGGCCGTCCACGAATAGGCCAGTTTTTCCCTATTCGTGCAGAGTTAATACTTCTCGATACTGTAGGAATATTAAACCAACCTATTTAATATTCTACTAGTACTGTATTATTTACTCGCCCCACAACAACAGGACAATACAACAGTGCCTACTCACCAACCGACGCGCCTGTCTCCCTCACCCATGAGGCAGGCCGCGTCAAACACCCGTGACCGTACAGTACCTCTACAACGGGTACTCGTCCGCTAACCGTCAATATACCCGCCACACACAGCTCAACAAGCCTCTCCACTCCATGCACACACACGGAGTGGACAAGGCTACATACCGCAAGTTCTCCCTTACTCGATTCCAGAGAGGAACTGCTCGCCGACTCTTTTCACGCGCCTATCTGAGAACAGACCACTATTAAATTCTCCATAAGATCCTATACTTAAGAATTGAATTTCAGGAGCTGAAAAAAATAGTATTTCGACCGTTTTCGGCCGCGTGGCAATATTAAAGCTAGGTAGCCATGTACTTCAGCTGTGCACCATTAGAATTATGTCATATGTTGTCCGGCGTTTTAAAAAAAATATTGCGAATTTACTAACCGGCACCACATTGGTGCCTGAAAAACAGTCGCGCAGTCGAATAGGGGCCATACATTAAAAGAATTCGTTTTAAATTACCAGTAACCATCCACTCATCTCTATGTGCATGTCATTGCCACACACGATAGCCAGCCTAAATAATGCAACCACAAAACATCGCGTCCGCTTTAGTGCACGAGCTGCAGGCCCTCCGATTGGTCGGCCGATGAGGCGTCACATCCACTAACCTAACAGGGTAATGAACCGGTAGTGATTTAATAGTGGTCACGTGTCTGTGACTCTGTATAGAAACTGTTTTTCTCGAAATCTGTCAAGCGCAATAAAATTCGTTCCGACAAACACCGCTGCACACGGGTGCAAAATGTTTGTTTAATTTGCTGTTCGGTTTTTGAGTTTTGGCGATTTCTTCGACCCCACCCTCCCGACTACAAGGCCATTCCGGTGCCTGTCTGCCAAGTCGGTACATAGTTCGAGTAGTCGCTAGAGTTGAATAGAATGATTTACATTGAATAAAATTGCTTTCGGCTAT